TGAATCTTGACACTTGATTTTGACTAAAAAAGTCAAAGTTTGACTTTTCAGTATACAGTCAAAATTGATCAATTGACTGGGAAATTCAACTGTCAATCTTGTGCATTTGGGATCTTTTGAACTTGTTGAGTATGTCAAGACAATTCCATGGGGTCCTTGAGTCCATATGTGAGCTTGGTTTGCAATTGGCTAGGTCAAACAGTCAAAAATTGCCTTTGTGCAGTCAAAACCCTAAAAATGACCATTTTGCCCTTTTGGTGATCTGATCAAATTTCTTGTTGAATTGTGATCCAAACTTGATCAAATGGTCCATGTGAGTTCATAATGTTGATCTGGGTCAATTTTCATGAGATTTGACTGTCAATTGGTCATAGTTGACTTTTTCCCCAATACAGTTGATTTCTAGGTCAACTGTCCAATTGACTGGGCAAAATTTGGAATCAAGACTTAAAACTTGATATAGATAAACTTGGGAGTCCAACATGAAGCATGAAAGTCATCTTAGGCATTTTAGGTCAAAATATCTTTGTGCAAACACAAACCCTAATTTGGGTCAACAGTGCAAGGAGAAGTCTTGAGCAGAGGAAACCCTAACTAGATCTTGAGCTCCAAGGGTCTTGTGATGAGAAAAATACTGGGGAAATGGGAGGGAAAATTTTGGGGTACAACACCATGCTTCTGACTCTTTTATAATGACGTCTCTGTTGACTTTAACTTTATTAGTTTCTGGATAATAAAGCTTGTACGCACTTGTATTATGACACCCCACCAATAACATTACTTTGCTTCTATCATCCCACTTCTGTCTTTTAGCTTCTGGAACGTGTTTGTAACATACATAACCAAACACCTCATATGGATAACACCTTGCTTGTCTCCATCCCACTTCTCTAAAGGAACAATTTCCTTCAGCTTCTTCATTGAACACTTGTTGAGCACATATGCTGAAGTGGAAACAACTTTTCCACATAAGGTATGAGGTAGCTTCTTCTCTTTCAGCATACTTCTTGACATATCTAGCAAAGTTCTATTTCTTATTTCAGCAAGACCATTATGATGAGGAGTGTATAGAGAAGTAACCTCACATTATATTTCATTCTCCTCACAGAACTTCTGGAACTCTGTAGAATTATACTCACCTCCAATGTCCATTTTGAGAATTTTCAACTTCTTACCACTTTGTTTCTCAACCTTCACCTTGAACTTCAGGAACTCGGTAAACATCTCATGTTTAAACTTGATGAGTGTTAACCACATCATTGTTGTGAACTCATCCACAAAAGACATAAAATACTTGTTTCCTCCAAGTGAAGGTTCTGAAAATAGTCCACACACATCGGAATGCACTACTCTCAAAGCATGTTTTTCTCTTAGGGCTACTTCTAATGTAAAAGGCAATATGAATTGCTTGCCTTTCATGCATACCTCATGTGACTTCTGAGGCTTCACAATCTTCGGAATGCCATGCACGAGCTTCTTAGAACTCATATGTCCTAAGCTTTTATAGTTAAAATGTCTCAACCTCTTGTGCCATAACTTACTATCACCTTCAGAGCCTTCTGCCCTAAAAAGCACTTTGTTTCAGCTATTTGCACATTCACCTTGAATGTTTTGTTGTTTTCCTGCTTATACTGCATGATCAGCTTCTAATTGGAATCATACAACTTTAAGAGATTGTCATTCATAACAACTGAGAAACATTTCTCAATAAATTGAGCTACACTCATCAGATTGCTCTTAATTCTAGGAACATACCAAACATCCTTGATCACAACAAACTTCTCATTATTTACTACTTTGACATTTTCCACACCTTCTACATTAAGGTACTTATCATCAGCACATCTAATCTTTGTCCTCCTTTTAGAGTCAAAATCTATCAACCATTATTTTTTTCAGTCAAGTGATTTGAGCAGCCAATGTCCATATACCACCAGTCTACCAAATACCTTCCACCAGACTCAGAAACCATCAATAGCACATGTTCATCATCAGAATTTCCTATGACTATAATTGGTTCTTCTTATTTCTTTTCCTTGTTTGACCAATAATCTTTAGCAAAGTGGCCAAACTGCTTGCAATAGTAACATTGAACCTTCTTCTTGTCTAACTTCTCCCTTTCCTTCTGATGTTTCTTCTTATCAGAAGTAAAGGTTTCTGACTTCTAGAATCTACCACCATATATCTTCTTGATTTCTGACCAAGAATGATTCTGGTCCTTGACAAAAGAAGCTTTCAGAGCCTGCTCAACCTCCCTCTCAAAAGTTCTTTCAGTAAGACGCACCTTTTGTGCCTCTAGACTGCTTTGCAGCTCTGCTATTCGCATGGTGTCCAAATCTTTAGAATGTCCAATTGCTACTACAATGTAATCAAATTGAGGGGTAAGAAACCTCAATATCTTCTCAATGATTACTTGTTCAGAAAGAGTTTATTCACAAGCTTTCATCTCATTAGTGATCATAATCACTTTAGAGATGTACTCATATACCTTCTCGTTGTCTTACATGTTGAGATTCTCATACTTCTTTCGTAGAGACTGAAGCTTCATTTTCTTCACTGATGTATCACTATCGTAACACCTAACCAGTGTGTCCCACGCAACCTTCGTCGTCGTCGAATCAGCGATTTTCTCAAATATGTTCACATCCACACACTGATGGATGTAGAACAACGTCTTCTAATCTTTCTTCCTCAGATCACCCTAAGCATTTTTCTGCGCATCAGTTGCATTTTCTAAAAGTGCAACTGAAACGTAATCATCGTTGACGAGATCAAGAACATCTTGAGCGCCAAACAACACACGCATCTGAATCATCTAGCGATTCTAATTCTTGTCATCAAACACTGGAAATTTGGTGCTCAGACTACCGTTTCCGTTTATCTTCAATCTTGTGCAAGTCACTCAGATCTCACTAAACACAGTGTTTTCCAATCCCGCATAATCAGAAAATGTGATTCTGTTACAATTTCGTTCAAGATTCAACATGAATTCAAGAAACGAAATCAATCACACAATGTCTCACTGTTTCACTCGTCTTTCCCTGTGGATCCGAACCAGAGCTCTAAATACCAGTTATTAGTGCACAAGGTTATAAAGAACAAGAAAGAATAAGAGAATATATTTATTGCTCTGCAATGACGACTACAAAAGTTGTAAGAAAGATTGAGCACAAATATAACAATTACCACTGGTCTATTTATACACAAAATAAATTGCAACGTAGACCCTAAAAGTAAACTTTATAACTAAGTTAACAAAACAATCTAAACTCAACTCCGAAAGCTAAACATGCTTCTGGAACATAATAAATTGTTACTTCTAACTAAGCAATATCAGAGGCTTACAACTTCTGGCTAACAACTTCAGAAGTTCTACTGCTTCTGAGTAATAACATCAGCCATTCTGATTCCAACGATAACATCAAAATATGAATTATTTCTAACAGTTCGAGGCACTAATTGTTGAGAAATCAAAGAAGAATAAGAATGGAACATATGTGCAGCAATGAATGAATGCAACTAGCAGGAACAAGGCAAGTTCTAAAAATGAATTGAAAAATGCAGCGGAACAATTGTAGATTTCACTCGAAAGAGAAGAAATTGAGTCAAAAAATAGTTTTTAAGAGAGAGCTCGTGATGCCATAATATGAGCAAAGCTTTGTGACTTCATTAGATTGTAAAATGCTGATACAATGAGCTTATATAGTTAAAGTAGAGTGCATGGAGCGTGACATTCATAGAGTCATAGAATCCTCTAACTAACTCTCAACAGCATAACTCCCATAAATAACTATGGGACTAGTGAGTCATATTCATAACTAATTTGAACTAACTTTAGCTATATCATTGTGTAATAATAGATGTTTAACCTGGTAATTTTTTAGGTTATATTTTCACTCACAACACTGATGTAGTTTGCACACATACTATAAACCAGTTAATTATTTCTGGGTAGGCATGATCATTTGATCATTGAGCAAGAGATCAACAGTTATATAAAGTGGACTGTTCTTTTCCTGTCAAGCTTTAGAATTATGTGCCAAAACCACACCTGAACTTGATGGAGTTCATTAGGCTCTTCCTGCCACAATTCGAAATTCTGCTGATGATGATTATATGCCAAAACCACGCCTAAACTTATGGAGTTTATTAGGCTCTTCCTGCCACAACTCGAAATTTTACTATTGATGGTTATGTGCCAAAACCTCGCTAATAATACTGGAATGTGTTTGGGTACAAGACAAAAAATTTAGCTATCTCAGTTCCGTAGCTTCACAAAAAAATTAGATAAATAAGCTTTTTTTGGTACAGAGCTTAGCCGGGAAACATGATCATCGAGCTCCTCGTATGAGAGACCAGGAAATCATAGTGAAATTTTGACAGGCTGAATTGCTTGGCAGTAAACTACTTGTATAAAAGGAGGGAGAAAATAAGAATTAGATACCATGGAGCTGTAAAATACAGTACAGCACAACTTGTCAAAGTTTTCTGCAAACTTATCTTTAAAGCAATCGCATTCATTTCCTGCATTTGACGTAATATAGCAGTAATCCCCATTTAGATAGAACAACCTGCTATCTATATGACTGTGTCAAATGCAGGAAATCGACTGCAGACATTGTGATAATCCACAGCCATGTGAAGCACAGACACAAACACGGACCACCGAGACAACACTGGCACGTCGACATCAATAATAATTTGAAAAAACTGAATAAGTTGAATGTAATCACAAGTGTCGGTGACCAATCAAATACTAAGTTCCATAATACATACTTAATAGAGAGCCAAGTTGAGATAAAACATAACCATAAAATAGAAAGAAGAAAGAAAAAAGAGAACACAGTAAGTGAAATTAACAATCAGTGTGTTTAAGTGTGACATTCAAAACCATCACAAATTCAGTATCATTTTTTCTCAAGCTAAGATTTATATGAAACTAAACCCTAACAAAATCAGTAACTGTAATCAGTAACAAAAAAGTGAAATGAAAATCTGTTTCAGCTAAGTTTCTTGAGAATCTTAGAAGCCCAACGCTTAACACGTCCTCTGAGAGTGTAACCAAAAACAACTCCACCAACAAAGAACACTGCACAAAGCTTGGAGCATGTCCAGTAAGAGAGAACTTGTCTGCAACAAAGAAGACACATAATCAATTATTCCAATTTCCAAGTCAAACCTAGTGAATTCGCATAATCAATTAGCGTTTAATTGTTGAATTTAAACTAAGGTGAGGTGAGAAGAAGAAAGACAGAGACGTGCCTGGATGATCTAGTGGCTAAGACATAGGATGAATTGTATGGAGGTTGTGCTACTCGGCTGCCGCCGTTGAGATCTAAGCTCGACGGTGATGTTTTGTGGTCGCCGGAAACCTTAACGGCGGTTCTTACAGCACCATTCATTGCTGCAAACTACTAGCTAAAAAACAATTCGTTTTACATCCTCTTTATTTCTTTTTCTCCTATATTTCGCATCTAAACGACGTCGCACTAACTCATTTCCACACCTTTTTTTTTACGGAATCAACTATCTAACTATTAATAAAAGATCTATGTGTTCGTAAGCAAGATCATTTTAAATAATAAATAATTAAGAAATTAGTATAAAAAATATATAAATTAAATAATCTATATTTTAAAATAAATGAAATAATTAACTAATTACCAATGTGTTTGCCTAGATTATACAAAATCGTTTTAAATAATAAATAAATATAAAATAATTAAGTAATTATTTATGCGTTTGCATAGATCACACAATATTGTTATAAATAGTAAATAAATATATTATATAAATAATTAAGAAATATATATAATAATGATTAAAAATATATATAAAAGATATATAAATTAAGTAGTTCCGATCCATCAGAAATATATATTTTAGTAAAAAAAATAAATAAAATAATTAAATAATCATTTATCTGTGTGTTCGTACGAGTTCCAGTATATCGTTATAAATAATAGGGTTAATCACCATTTTACCTTCTACCATATAGATGAATATCGAAATCAATTCTATAAAAAAAATACTGAATTTGATCAATATAATGGATGATGTGACGCTGTTGTGTTGGCTTTTTTTATTTATTTTTAATTTCACATAAATTTTTATTTTTTTATTATTTATATATTTTTAATATCACATGGCTTTTTACTTTTTTTTATTATTTATAACTTTAAAACTAGAAAAATTAAAAATATTTTTTTTTAATTTTTTATTTATTTTTAGTTCCACATGATTTTTTATTTTTTTATTATTTATATATTTTTAATTCCACGTGGTTTTTTATTTTTTATTATTATTTATAGTTTTAAAACTAGAAAAGTTAAAAATACCAGAATATTGTATTAGATTAGATGGGTATCATCAAACCCACAATATCTCTCTTATATTATTAACTTTTAACCACTTAGACATATTTGCTGATTTATTTATAGTATCTATTTTAATGTCTATATTATATTACTATGTCAAATTATCTTAACAATTACATTTAATTTTTAATAATATATTGAAATTTATTGATAATTTATAGTATATATTTTGAAATAATAAACTGAAATTATTTATAACATGCAATATATATTTGGAGAAGTTAGTTGAAATTAATTTTGTTGGAAAAAAAACAATAATAAACTAAAATTAATTTCGTTGGTAATTAATTGAAATAAACTATTAACTAAAATTAATTATAATATTTAAAAATTATTAAATAAGTATTCAAATATTTAATTAATTGAAATACATTATTCAAATATATTTAAATATTATTAAATAGATTATTCAAATATATTTAAATATTAAATAAATATCTATTTATAACATTAATTAAATGTATTTTTATATATATTTGTGAGAATAAAATTATATATATTAAGTTTACATATGATCTGAAATATGTATTCAAATTGATAATTTATATATATTATCATTTAATAAATATATTCTAATTAATATATTTTAGTTAATAATTTTAATATTAAATGTGTAACATGAAATTTTAAAAATTATTATTTTAAGTTAAAATGATAATATGCTGATGTGTCAAATAATAATAAATTTAATAAAAAATTTAAATTAATTTTTTAGGATAAGCTAGAATATTTTAAATTTTGCTAATATACTTACTATTAATTTTTTAAATTTTTATAGTAAGTTAATATATATATATATATATATATATATATATATATATATATATATATATATATATATATATATATATATATATATATATATATATATATATATATATATATATATATATATATATATATATATATATATATATATATATATATATATATATATATATATATATATATATATATATATATATATATATATATATATATATATATATATATATATATATATATATATATATATATATATATATATATATATATATATATATATATATATATATATATATATATATATATATATATATATATATATATATATATATATATATATATATATACATATATATTGAATCGAAAAAATAATAATTTAATTATAATTTTGATAGAAATTGGTATGAATGATTTTCTTTAAGTAAAATCAAATTTATAAAATTAATTTATTGAAAAATCAGTGCCAAATAATATTAAATAATTTTTTTTAAATTGTTTTCAAAAATATATATTTGATTAGAGCAGTTATCACTAAAAAAATGACTATAAAAGATATTAAAATAATTGTTTTATTATTATAAGTGAAAGAAAATAATTGTTTTATTGTTGAGAATAGGGGAATGAGAAAAGAATGTTAGAACATTATAAATTATAAATAAGTGCACTGGTAGAAAAATGTTCAGCTTTCCAATGTAGGATAAGAATGGGAACGAATATGTTCACACCGTAAAAAGTTGAAACGGTTTATCTACTTTTAAACCACTTCAAACAGTGATTTTTCAGATTGATTTGGCAGCTTGACATTGAAATTGTCAACAAAAAAGTTCTTTCAGCTGGTGAACGGTTCAAATATAAGCAACGGTTCTTCATATTTTTTTATTATTAAAATAATCAATTGTGGGATCCAATAACAATTTTAAATCAAATAAAATTTAGTATGAATAAAATATTAATATACAAAGTAAAATTGTGGGGCCCAATATAAATTCTTTAAAATTACATCATTGGAGTGAAAAATTGAGTGAGTTGCTTTAAGATAATGTGGCTTAATGGATCCCACAAAGAACCCAAATATGAGTAGCACCATTGGAGATGCTCTTAATACGCTTAATAATTTACGATTCAGAATAGTTAATATAAATTATTTTATTATTTTATTTATGAAATATGATATATATATATAGTAATTATTGATTATCAATTATTAAGAATGCAAAAATATAATTTGGGGTATGAAATATCTTATTTAATTGGGTTACCAAAAAGACAATCGAGTCTTCCATTATTTACTTGAAGAGAAAGTGTATATTTCATATTCTATGGAACTCTTCCAAACAAAAACGAAAAACAAAAACGAAAAACGAATATTTGCTTGGACCTGATTCAGATGGAAGCACAAATCTTTTTGCTTTAGGAGGGGTTCGTCAGTCTCCATATCCTTGGCTTCGATTTCTTCCATCTCTACATCTTTGAATGTTTGTGTTGGTTCAGGATACATGAGTTTGTTCAATTTTTGCACCTGTTTGTGTTTGGTATCTTTCATCATTGAGTTTGTTTTATTTTCACACATGTTTCTGGATGAGTTTGTTCAATTTTCGCACATGCTTCTTCCTGGGTTTCTTAGATTTTCTCATGGGCTCCTGTTTGATTTCTGCACCTGGTTGTGTTGTTCATAAATGTTTTAGTCTTGTTCATATGCATCTGCTTATGTATGAGTGATTTCTTTCATCTCCCAAATCCAAAAACCCGAATCTAAACCCCTACAACACAAATTAAAACCTCAAACTCAATCTAAAATCCAAATAAAAACCTAATAACATTAATATGAAAACAAAGGATGAAATCAATATGAAAGAAATCATAGTGATTTTTCTTATTACACTATCATTTTCCTCCCCATTATAGCTTCCTCCGCAACAACAATTTATGCTCTCACATTTGAAATTACATGTTCTGAAATAGTGAAACTAGAAAGAAACTTTTGAGGAAAAAATGGAATAAAAGATGAAGATAGTAGTACCACAGTAGTTAAACAAAGTATTAGATCTGCAGTGTAGAAGAGAAACTAGATGGATATGATTCATTAATTTTTGCCATAATTTCTCTTTTTTCTGCCAACCTCTAGCTATAAATAGAGGTCTCATCCCTCATATTTTCACATCCAGATTCGTGAGCTCTCATATCTCACTCCTCACTCTCTCTCTCTAAAAATATTTTCTCACTTTCACTCATATAGAAATTTAGCCGTTGTGCTTTCGAGAAAGGTCTTTTGAAAGTGAGACATCTTTGTAATTTTGAAAGGAACATTTTCACCTTGGTTGAATAATTTATCCAATTAGAGATTGTTTATTTGGGTTCTAAACTAAACCCTTTAAAAGGCTTGGTTGTGGGATTTAGTTAATAAATCGTTGGTTCGGTTCGTAAGCGCAGCCTCTTCAAAAGCTTTCATTGGTTTGAGATTATACCGAATTAAAATCTCAATGGTTCGAGGTCAGCTTGTTCAAAATCTCTGTTCAGTTTGTAAGTTCACCCTGGTTAAAAATTTACTAAGATTGGAGATAAGTCTGATATAAAATCCCTCCCATAGGATAAGTCTGGTATAAAATCTCATAGGTTCGTGGTCAGCCTGTTAAAACCTCAATTCGGCTCATGAGCTCAGCTCGGCTCAAAAGCTCTCATTGGTTTGATATAAGCATGTGTAAAATATCAATTAGCTTGGGGACTAACCTTTTTAAGTTATTGTTTGGAAAGAAGTAGCTGCTTCAATCCGTCATTTGGAAAGAAGACTAACCACTTATCTCCTTTGTTTGCTGTTTGGTTGAAAGTTATCTAGAAACTTCATTTTTCTTGTATAAGGGGGTTTGAGAGTTCAACTTACTAGACATGAAATCTAGTGTTATAGCCTAGACTATCTAACATGATTTTAAACATGGAATTTAACCCGAGCTTGGAAACATACCTCACTTTATGGAGAAGGAGCTTACAACAATCAAACATTTTAAGTCTAATAATACTAAAACCATGAATTTCGCATGTCTTATTGTTATTGAGTCGAACGATTCCACCTTATTTAAGTTATAAAGTTTCAAATTATTATTTCCTTGGACACATGTGATAAGAGCATCATGGGCTCATGACCTAACTCTTCTTTGTTCCAAACTTGTCACCACTAACGCACCAACACTCTTATAACCATCTTCGTATATGGAAACAACGGTCTGAATAAAATATTTCTTACCATTTCTCTCAAGACAATCCTT